AGCGCGCCGTCTGCATGTTGAGCAACACCACCGCTATCGCAGAGGCCTGGGCTCGTCTGGATCACAAGTTTGACTTGATGTACGCCAAACGTGCTTTCGTGCACTGGTATGTCGGAGAAGGTATGGAGGAAGGTGAATTTTCTGAGGCTCGTGAAGATCTGGCAGCTCTTGAGAAGGATTACGAAGAGGTTGGTGTTGACTCCGTCGATGAAGGAGAAGAGGAGGAAGGTGAAGAATATTAAATCCTGACTAAAGTAACCAGAGAACAATAATTGTAATCATGTTTAATAAATTGTTCAATTATTGACACTGCCACTATATTCCAGGTCCCGAGAATTATGGTGTAATAAATTGTAACTGCCAGTACGTGTATTGCTTGTTTTCGTATTTTATTGCGTTTAACCCATGTATAGCCGTAATACTATGCCATCTTTTTTTTTAAAGTACAATATTTTATATTCTAATAATTTTAGAATATGAAATTTTTGTGGGCGGGCATCCGCGCATTTTCACTGCCTGGCAACCATCAGGGTGAAAACAAAGGCAGAAAACTGTTTTTTGAGATGTTTGTTGAGACTCTCCTGAACACTGTAACAAGATTACCCCTGCATGTCCAACATGTATTAATTTGGTTGTTCTGGATTATGATTAAAGTTGAGAGCCCATAGAAATGCATGGTACAGTAGTGCGTATCTTAGAAACGTGGAACGTCTTTGTGACGTGGCTCCGCCCCAGAGGATATGGTTTAAATGTGGTCAAAATTCTATTTTTTCCCAGGGGTGTTTTGGCTAATACATGAACTTTTATTTACTTTTAAAGTATGGCTAAATAAAAATGAATTCTGCATGCCCTATAAACTTATTGCATGTGCAGTAACATTCCACCAAGTAGTACAATCATGCAGTTTAAAGTTATGTGATGTATGTAGCAAGTTGACTCTTTCGCCTTTGTTTTGTGTATGAAGCCCGCAATGAGTGGATTAGGGAAGGGGCTACCTTGATAGGCAATGTGTTAAATTCAAGATGTATTAATTCAGGCATAACTGCCGAGATTCCCACCTCTTGCCCTGCAAGAAGTCTTGGCTTGTACTCTGTGGGTACCCCTTAGTCTATAAAACAGAAAATCGTGCAGTTGTATAGCAAGTAGTTCTATGGTGGGGTCTATAGGAATTGTGACTTGGTAAATTTATTTGACATTTTGTGTTTGTACCCTAATAGTGGCACATCTTGGTGCTTTCAGAGGGTGTAGTTCCATCAAGGCAAGAATTTTCAATGTACGTTTTTAAATTTCAAAGATAACTGCATTTTTTGAGACATTTGAATTGATGGTGAATTTGTGCCCCCAGAAAGTACAAGGATGTGTGACCTTTTGGAGGTCGTGCATAGGCCATTGAGGTGCCACAGCAGGTTCCACAACCAGTTCCCTCATCACAAATTAACATAATAGCCTTGTTTTATAATCTGCACTTTCCTTCAAAAGATTGACTAAAATTTGTTATGTTGTCTTCAAAATTACGGTTCATTTCCAGAAAAATTAAAGAATATAAGAAAAAAAGAGCAGCAAAATTTGAAGTGAGACAGTGGTGGTGAAAGGGTTGATTATGTAGGTACAACCACATTCAATCTTTAAAAGTATTCTCAGGAGCCAAGCTGAACCAACTTTAATTTCAGGATTACATTTTGACTCCAGATACCGACAAAATCAATCCACTTGAAAAACACTGCTTAATATTACCGTCCAGTGACCTAAGTATCTTCCTTCTCACCTTCGCGACTTTATTTTTGTGATTACATTATGACCCCAGAAACTACCAGGGTAGTTCTTACGAGCACACTGCTTACACCTCTTGTCCTCCAGTGGTGGTCCTCTTCGTAACTTTTTAACCTGAGAGACCTTTTATTTCCCAACCAACTGACAATTTCGGCTGAGTGCTCCAGAAAAATAGCTCGATTGAATTGATTGATTCATATAGTGGAACCAATTACCATATTGAGGTGCTTTGTTGGTAGTGTATTTAACCCAGTTACAGAAATGTCAATACAGGAAATAGACTAGACTGGCCCAGCTATGGCAATTTTGTTTATATGATAATTGTTTTTATAAACAAATTAGTAGAAGCTAGCGAAATTTAGTGTCGGACCCAAGATTTAATAGGATTTTATAATTGCCACAGCCATGGAGCGAAAAAACAAATTCTCTAAAACCTGTGGAATGTGGAGGTGTGTTCCCAATTGATTCCACATTATGTGTGATGTGTAAGAAGATGTCATGAAATGCATTGTCTGTTTGATATAATTGCAGTGTTTGAAATTCTCCAAAGTTGTGTACTATGGCAGGTATTTTACAATTTCACCAGCCCTGCTAGAAATTTACCAGCCCTGAATTGAAAATTATATACTTCCATTCCGATTCCAAGTAAGCACAAGTTGTTCTATTTAGCAGAAGTAGACTGCCCTTTTCACCACCAGACTTTCTTGCCCAAATTTTTCTGCACTTTTTTTCTTAGATTCTTCAATATTTCTGGAAATGAACCCCAATTTTGGAGCCAACAGACAAAATTTGAGTTGATTTTCAGTTTTTACTCGAAAATTTTGTGTTTTTTGTCCCAGTCTCCTGAAGAAAAGTGCAGACTGTAAATGGGACTATTTTGTGAATTTGTGATGAAAAGAGGGAACTGGTGCTGAAAAGGTTAATGATTTCATTGTTTCTTATTGGTCATGCATGCATGACTCCTGTAAATCTGAGAAGTCCCTCTGTGGATTAACTTAGTATGCAGATACTGGCTTCCAACTTCATTTGATTTTATTTAGCAGAAGTGCATTTTGAACATTTTTATTGAAGCAGACCATTAAAAAAAAAAAGTTACCAGATGGGCATATAAATTTTAATTTTTACTGGCCGATTGGGAAAGTTACCCATCTCTGTTGTATGGGTGGGCAGTAATTTCAAACCCAGGTATTAGCACTTTTGTGTTAATACCTGTGATAATGATCGTTGCAAGAGTCGACTAGTAAACCACAAGATTCTTTATTTCAAGTGTGTGAATCAGTCCTAAAAAAATTGCTTTGATGTGTGAAGTTTTAACTTCATTGGTCCAGGCATGTATGAGATATGCCTCTGGAACCGCATCTGTCAGTCAGCCATTTTGAATTTGAAGGTGACAAAAATGAATGTGCGTTTGTCCAATATGTCTGATGTATTTGAACTTGATTGGTCCCGGGCATGTCAAATTTATGAGCTTGGCACTCCATTCTTTAAAACAAAATAGCTGCCTGTCAAAAATGAGGTACCCAAACTACATGTAGTTTCCATGGAAACAATGAAATTGTCATTCAAAGAATAACCTCATGAAAAATTTATAAAACATTTTAGACCAGGACTCTCTTGCTTCATTCAAATCAAATCCTTGGCTATAGAAGCCACATAGTAACACCCATTACCCATGAGTCTGTGCAAATCTCTGATTTCCTTAAAGCATTTACTACATGTAACACATTGTGATCAAGTACCGTAGTTCTCAACCATCATACAGTGAAGTACATAAAGCTGTGGTCGTTATCAATGTTTTAGAAATATTTATTTTTAGAGATCAAAATAGATGTTAGAATTCAAATTGACCAATCGATCATCGTAAGTTCTAATTAATAATAACGAGACAGTTCAATGTAATTCAATCAGAAGCCTATCATTTTCAATATGTTGGTGGTCACAGTTTCTTATCGCATGAAGACGTGCGCATGCATTATTGGTGGAGACAATGTTCATGAGCTCTTGTGCACCGATCACTATTAAATATTTGAATTTGAATGAAAGCTGATGGTAAAATAGAAATACGTTTATAAGCCAATTTGTGCCTTTCACTACAGTGAAAGTTGGGGATGTTATAAACATTTTATAAATATACATTTTTATCAATAAAAATCTGGTAGAATTCAAATTGACCAATTAAGAAATGATATGGTGACATCATCGCACCTTCTAATTAATATTAATGAGGTAATTCAACTTCATCCAATCAGCAAGCCCTTCATTTTCAAAAAATCAGTGGTTGCTACGTCACTTGAAGATTTGTGCGCGGTGCATTATGGGTAGAGCTCTCGAGCCAATCATTATTAAATATTTAAATTTGAATGAAAGCTGGTGATTCGAATATTTACGAATTGTTATAAATAGTCTCACCACATTTCCTCATCATCATCGAAACTGTACGAATAAAAAATGTAGATTCTTACATTTACGTGTTTTTATTTATTTATTTATTTATTTAATCACTTAACATCCATTGGAATGAATGATAATGGATATTGAATCCATTATTCATTACACAAACAAAAAACAAGAAAGTGACATGACATAGCAAATACACATAAACAGAAAAAACAATTAAAAATGAAAATGGCAGAAAATCCAAGAATTTTGAAGGTCATTTTAGATGACATCCATGTCTAGAAGGTGTTGCTGTCTAGATTCAAAACAGATTCGCAAATATTGGCCTGAGGGAATTGACAGGGATTCATTGATCAAGATGAATCTGAATTTGTTTTTGTGGTTTATTTTATTTTATTAAAATTTGGGGATATTTTCCTTGCCGATGTAAATAGAATATTTCTGTGTTGGGCATAGAAAGGGCAAGACATCACAAAATGATTTTGGGACTGATTTGTGTTGCAGAGAACACGTACCTTTCATTTGCTGGCAACTGAATATGGCGTCCTGTTTCAATTCTCATTGAATGGTTACTTGGACAAAACTTACTAATTACTTTCCAGAGTTCAATATTTTTAATGTTTGTCAAATAATCCTCTAAACTAAACTGATATTTTTTTTAAAAAGACGGTAGATTACTTTACTGCCCTCTATCGATCAATTTATTAGTACTATGGTGACCCGGAAGACATTCAGTAAAGGTCACCGCGTGGTGTAATCGTTCAAAGCTTTTTGATCGTCAACTCTTTGAGTTTATAGAGTAATTTCTATATTTCCATTGTATTATACTTTCATTCAGGCATTACGAGGTAACCAATGTTTATTTTAAATAGTATCAGCTGAATTTATACTCGCTGGCATCAATTTGTTCGGCCGAGAAGATTGTTCTTACCGGTCCGAGTACCAGCCACGACGCGTAAAGGCGACAGGGTCACGAGAAGCACATGTGTAACCAGCTGATCGACGAGTCTTCCACCGTGGTTACAATAATGACGTCAACGTCGGACTCTCTACGAACTCGCCTTGAGGAGAGAAACAATTACTTTAACCGTATGATTAATCTTATTCCAGTGGAAGTTTACTTTGATCAGGAAGATCAACAGAAAAAAGACCCAGCAGGTATTTTTTATTAAATTACTTCCATGATTGGCGAAGCACAGTCCCTCTATGATAGAGGGACTGTGGTTGAAGTCAACCGGTGTTATCCCCGGTTCGAACCATGAACTTACCTTTATATGGAACCATGTACGCTAATGTTTCAACTGAAACTGGTGATCTGATCCGTGTTTTTTAGGTTTAGATACTGCATGAATTATTTGTCATGCTATTCTAAGTATGAGTGTAAGTGCCCTGGTCCGCAACTGTGGCCTACACCTGGCCAGGTTACTATTTAAAAACCGGTTGTGGTAGGGTTGGGAGTGTTGCCACAGTCACTATTCTACAGATTGTGTTCAAATGGCTCACATGCGACGTATGTAACAAATCTATATAATCCTTCTATTGACCAGACGAAGAATGGGAATTGTTTGATATGTGAACTATTTGAACTTGATCTGTTTCCAGATTAGTCAATAAAGGGACTGTGGCATGTACAATATATTTTTTGTAGTGTGCCCTCGGAAAGAACTTCCCCCACCACTTACCCTAACTTTAACCCTAGATACCCCACCCCCACCCCCCAATTGAGTTATATATGCCCCTCTAGATAACTATAGGTGTTTTCAAGTGTGGCATATACATGTACAATTAATTTTAAAATAGAGGATAGGGGTCGGGTTAAAGTTAGGATTAGAGGTGGGAGGTACATTGGAAAGTTCTTCTGTGTCCTCTAAGAGAACCAATTTTGTAGGGATGTTGATTAAAATGTGAATTTAATTTGGCAATTAAATTACAAATTCCATAAATATAGTAAAAAAAAATTTTAAAATCACTATATCAATGTATAATATTTTTGCATCAAATGCATCCCATTAAATTAGCATAACTAGTTGCATCACAAAACAAAGGTCAGCAAAGCATCAATATTCTCTAAACCCCTCTTAGTTTTCAAATGAATAACCCTTTACGGTAGTCTACAATGGCTGTTCCAATCTAATGAACACATCACATATGACACTGAATATGTACAGTTTTGGTGTTGCAGGCATATTTATTGGTTAAACAATTTATTTTATTTTATTCATACACACACTGAATTTTACTTTAACATTTTTTATGGATATTTATAAATGTTTTATAAAAAATTCTGAGTATGTTTATGAATCTAGAGTGTAAATATGTAACGAACAAAGTCTGACAAGTAAGCACAGTTGACATCATTAGTTATAATTAATATTAACATTATCCAATTGTCTAAACACTATTTTCTTCTAATAAAGAAAAGTAAATTAAGTACAAATATCTTTTTTCTGTTCTCTCAGCAAATCAAGACGAGTCAAAAGCAAGCAAGAAAGGAAAGCGTAAACGTCAACGATTGGATCCGAAACACCACAAAAATGTGACTGACATCCAGAAAGAAATGGACGAGAATGAAGAAACGGCGATTGGAGGGACGAAGGAAGAGGACTCCAGTGATGAAGATGACGGTAGGACATGATTCCATACATACATTCTAAATAGTCTTTCCCAGCCAATATTAATTAAGTTGGTCACATCACATCAATATACAGTGCAACATTATTGCGTTTACAGAGAGTTGTACTGTAGTGATGTCAGAATTTCCGAGGAAAAGTTTTTCTGCTGCGTTTAGAAGAAGTTTTTACTCCCATGAATTTTTTTCTTGAGTACAAGACTAGATTATATACCTTTAGAGGTAGTTGTAATGATTTGTGGTGATGTCAGAATTTCCTATGAAATTTGTTTTTGCTGCTTTTACAGAAATTTTTTAATCCTATGAATGAAAACTTTTTTCCTGGGTGCAAGACAAGATTGTATAGCTTTAGAGGCAGTTAGTGCTTTGTTTGATAAGTGGGAGTTAAACGTAACTGATTTAACCATGAAATGGCCTAGTTTATCATTAATACTGATTGCCAGTTTCTGTGCTGCTCCCAGGACAAAAGGACAGACAATGTCCATGGACATCACAACAGATGCAAATAGCTGTAAGATTGTGATATTTTGTAGTTTCTAACTCAGACCTTGTTTTCTTAATTAAAATAAAACTGGCTAGCTGGGGAGTTATGCAATTAAAGTCTTTTCAAAAAAGTCTAAATTAGGAGAGTGAATGATCTTTGTGCTAATCAGCTACAAAAATGTAAACATTTGTAATGTGTACTATTGTATTTATTTCCAGGTGACAAAAAATCCAAAATGGCGAAACCAATCAATGTGGAACAAATACAAAGTAATTTGAGTTTAAATGAACTTAGAACAAAACTACAGAACAAAATTCTGGGCATGAAGGGAAAGCGGAAAGCAAGTGATGATGGGACAGATAAACAAATAAAGAAGCAAAGGAGACTAGACAAAAAGATGAAAGAGAAGAAAAAGAAAGAATTCAAAGAAAACGCTTCCAGGAACAATTCAATGAAAATGCTGAACAATAAAATAAAACTGAACAAAGAAAACGGACAAAAGCCAATTGTTAATAATGAAGGAAAAGTTGTTTTCAGTAAATTTGATTTTTCAGAATCTTTGGAAAGTAAAGACCTACGGAAAAAGAAAAAAAAACAAAACATTAGCAACAAAAATGTGAAAGCTTTGTTAAGACAAGTGGAAATGAAGAAAGAAAAATTTAATGAGATGAAGGAAAAGGATCCTGAAAAAGCGAAAAATGTTGAACAGAAACAGGCTTGGAAGAAAGCCATGCAGAAGGCGGAAGGAGTGAAACTTAAAGATGACCCTGAACTTTTGAAAAAATCTATCAAAAAAAGAGAGCAGATAAAAAAGAGGAATAAGAAGCAGTGGGATGAGAGAAAAGTTGTCACTGAGAAATTAATTAAAAAACGACAAGACAAGAGGAAGAAAAATATCAAGAGCAGGAAAGATCACAAATTGCAAAAGAAAATGAAAGTCATGAAAAAGAAAGGGAGAATTTTACCCGGATTTTAAATCTAGAAAGTTTGACAAATGATCAACTTGACAGTAATGTTTTATGTTTAACATAAACGACCATGTTTTAATTCAGTGAAGTTAAAAATGAATTTATAATTTGTAATTATCATTCTTCTAGTAATTTTGCCTGTAATTTTGTTCAACCTGATCTTGAATCGTGTTTATACTTGGTGATGTTCAGATGCACATTTTCTATCGTATGATTGTATTTAAAGTATTTCTAGCATTTGTAATTAATAACGTTGCATCATGTTTGACATGACCCATGTTGTATCATGTTTGAGTTCACCCATGCTGCATCATATTCAACATATTTCATGTTGCATCATGTTTGAAATCGATCATGTTGCATCATGTTTTACATATTTCATGTTGCACCATGTTTTACATATTTCATGTTGCATCATGTTTAACCTCAATGGTTGCAAATACTCTACTGGCAATCAATATTGCAAATAAAAATTCAAAAAAGGGGATACAAAAGCAGCCATGACAGTTTGTAGACGATTTAAACATGTGCACTGCAAATGTAGTTTTTTTATTCTATTTTTTTTTTTTTTGCATTTGCAAACTTTCGTTTAGAGGTCGGATGGGGGGGTTAAATGTCAAACAAAGGGATTTTGTTTGCTGTATATGCATTTTAATCATTCACTGTCCTGTAGTGACAAGCTTAGTTACTGAATTCAAATTTTAATTTACACATAATTAAATCAATTATTTGAATTGTGATTCACTGGTCAATAAAATCTCACTACTGTCACTGGATATTATCAATGAATGTGTGGTGTTTACAGCGACCACTGTACTGAATGTGTGTTGTTTACAGCGACCACTGTACTGAATGCGTGGTGTTTACAGTGACCACTGTACTTAATGTGTGGTGTTTACAGCGACTCGTACTGAATCTGTGGTGTTTACAGCGACAACTGTACTGAATGTGTGGTGTTTACAGTGATCACTGTACTGAATGTATGGTGTTTACATCGACCACTGTACTGAATGCGTGGTGTTTACAGCGACCACTACTGAATATGTGGTATTTACAGTGACCACTGTACTGAATGCGTGGTGTTTACAGCGACCACTACTGAATATGTGGTATTTACAGTGACCACTGTACTGAATGTGTGGTGTTTACAGTGACCACTGTACTGAATGTGTGGTGTTTACAGTGATCACTGTACTGAATGTGTGGTGTTTACAGTTACCACTGTACTGAATGTGTGGTGTTTACAGTGACCACTGTACTGAATGTGTGGTGTTTACAGTGATCACTGTACTGAATGTGTGGTGTTTACAGTGATCACTGTACTGAATGTGTGGTGTTTACAGTGACCATTGTACTGAATATGTGGTGGTTACAGTGACCACTGTACTGAATGTGTGGTGTTTACAGTGATCACTGTACTGAATGTATATATATATATATATATATATCTTTATTTCGTACTGTGGCCATTGGCCTTATGTACAGATACAAATAAATACATAATAAATTAGATTGGAATGGTCGCAGAAACAAGTAAAGAAAAACAAATATAAAATCATAATACATAACATTTGCATAATTAAGTGTTCTCTTCAAGCATAAGCTGACGTACTTGAAAACTATAAAATATAAATTTACCAAGGTTTAATTGTATATATGGGGTTTGATTCTGAAATAATGAAATAAACTTTATCTCTGTAGTGGGAGAAGTAATACTGTGCAATAAACTTCAACCTTAGGGAGCTATATTTGGGACAAACTAATGT